TCCAAACACCAGATTTAAATAAAGAGACCAAAGTTTAAGGTAACACATTTTTATAAGTCTTTACAAAAACACAGCAGACATGAGGTCACACAAGAGGAATCCACTTTAATATATAACTGATCATGAATTCATGTTTGTGGCATCAAAAATGTGTAAATTAAATCTAATTCCAGCTTCTGTCTGTGAAATATCATGAAGATACTTTTCAACACTAACAATAAATCATTTTATTATTTTTGCAGTAACCTTTTCTTTCTTTTTTTAAAGAAAGAAACTGCTGCTGTGGTGGTGTTCATCTTGTTGAATTTATTTTATTTTTATTTTCGCTTGTTACAGATGGGACAGATATGGCTGGGGGACAAGGAGAAAAAAACTGAAAGAAAAAGAGGGAGAGAAAGACAAACAGAGGAGAGAGGAGATAGTGAGAAAGGGGGAAGAAAAAAACACCTGGATCACCTGTCGAGAGAAGAAAAAAACAGAAAAGAAAACAATTAATAAAGAGCAACATAATAAAAACAACACAATCACAATAAACAAGCTAACAGTAAATAACAGTAGATACTAAATATTAAATGTTATTGAGCAGTACGCAAGATCAACAGTGCACAATGTGCTTTAAGTTAGCAGCCAAGAAACGTGTAGTTTGTGTCTGTGAACACTCGTGTGCATACCTGTGTGGATCAGCACGCTTGTATTCAAAAGGTTTCTCCATGTAACGATCTGCTAGAGAGTGTGGGGAGCCATAGCCCCGTCCCTGAGGACATGAAGCAGGTATGGAGGAGATCCAGGCCCCAGACATCCAGAGGCCCCAGAGTACAAGAACCCAAGGAGGACCACTAAACGGTAACCGTGCCACCCTCCTGGGAAGAGCCCCAGATGAGGGGTTACCCAGGAACCACCGAGCAGAGGTCAGAGGGGTTTGCAGTGACATGCCTGCGGGCTCTGCCAGCAGCCAGCTGTGCCAGAGTGAATTTCATAATGCTGGATTAATCAAGGACTCTTGGTAGTTTCCCTTATCTTCAGAGTCCAAGGAACAAATGGCCTTGTCATTCTGCTTGTTCAGAGCCCCTCACCACTTTCCACGTCTCATGGACCAGGTGCTGCATTACCATTTTAAAAAGCATTTTGAAAATCAATTTATTAAATTGGAATTCGAAAATGAATTTACAAATGCAGAATTTATTCTACAATTAATTAATTATTAAGCACAGAATTCTTTCCATTTCGATGTGCGTGGCTCTTGTGGTCCTCCATATTGTTGATCACATTGGTCTCCTTTAGTCAAAAAACCATGTGTTTTTAAACCGTCAGTGAAATGACCATGTCCCAATTAAAAGTAAAAGCAAAATCTTTTAAGAATGGCTCAGACATAAATATGAGGGGTGGGGCTATGTGCTAAGTGTTGTTGTTATTTCACCATGGTGACAATAGTGTTGAATTCTCCTGTTTCCAGGAAACAAAAACAAACAAATACACACACCTTCATAAGTCACCAAGGTGTATGCTAAACTGATCCCCACCTCACTGAGTAACATTCCTGAACTTTTCTGAAATAATGGTTTTGTCATTAAAGACTTCAGGTTTGGAGTCGAGTCTGGGTTGTGGCTTCCCTGTTTTTACTTCCTGGTTTATTTGTGACTCCGCCTTCTGTTTCTTATGCAGTTATGCTCCACGTCTTTGTCTTGATGTCTTTTTGGCTCCTTCTGTCAATTTAACTGAGGCTCCTGTTTGTGCTCCTTCTTTTGTGCATTTGTTGTTTTCTGGCCTTCTACACTTCTAAAATCTCACTTGTTCTTTGTTCGACCTGCCTCCAGTGATTTGGGTCCTCCAAATTTTATTAATAGATCTAATAGCCTGTAGATTGCATGTCTGTAATTGCTCACCCACCTACTCTTGTCTGGATGTTGATGTGTTGGGAAAAATCTACAGGTCTTATCTCTTGATTCAGAGCATGGGAATGCACACCCACGCACATACATGACAAAAACATGATGTGCTTTCTTCCACACCTGAGCAACAGGTGAACACATCAAAATATTTGTTTCCTTTCAGTGTGCCAGTGTGCCGTCCATACACTGCATTAACATGTTTCTCTCTAAATTCTTTAAAACTGATTTGATGGCGCCGACTCTGAAGTTGTAACATGTCGATATTAGAGCAGAGTTTAGGTCTGAATGATTTTTATTGTGACCGTTTTTAATGACTGTCTCGGAAAACACACAAACTTAACACTTTTCTAATGTTTTCAGTGCTCACATGTGTTAAAAAACATTGCATGATGGTTCTTTTTCCTAAAGATTTGTTTCATACAGAATGACTCATCCTCACACACCAGTGCAAAGAACTTGATGAAGAAGGTCTGAGCATGAGGATCTTCTCATTCAGTTTGAGGACTGAAGCTAACAGGTGGACAGCTAATGTTGTCCTAATGGAGCTACAGGCCAGTTTCCCTGAAACCTTAAGAGAACGAATACACAGAGCTGCTGTCTCAATACCTCATTTCTCCAACTTATCAACCTGAACTATCTTCAGACCGCTTTTTTTTTGTTTGTTTTTTTACTGCACATTGCACTTTTAGTCTCATCCAAGCTCAAAGATTTGACATTTTGCAAACACACTCTTTCGTTGTCAATAACATAGGTGTCAGAGTGTTATATCATTATGTTGTTACCATGTTACATGTACTTATTTATTTGCTACTAAAATGTTTTGTTTTCAGTTTATTTTCAAATGATTCTGTGTTAGGAAGTTCTGTGAGAAATGGCTTTTCCTGTCATGAGGCTGAAGGAGATTTGCACTGATTTTGGAGTGGTGTCAGCATCGCCCAGTCTTGTTTTGACATAGCTGAAAGTGGTTGAACAAGACCAAACAAATCCCTGTTGTGTGTGTATATCTGTTACAGATGGTTAGACTATACTTCATATAAGTCATGCAGTACAAAAATAAAATTTCAAGAGGTTTTAACACCACTAACTGAAACAAGTCACCAGCATGTGAACAGTTTAAACATTCGCCTAATAAAGATAAATAGACAGTCTGGGTTACATAAAGTGGTGTAAAATATTTCTACATCTTATTTTTTGGCTCACGAAGACGTAGATCCACTGTGGTCTACACAACTTCAATGAAAGCAGGTGAAATGTGGACAAACAGGCATTCTTGAAACAGCACCTTCATTCCTTAATCATCTATTTGTGAATGGATGTGTGTTTATTGAATGTGGTCTTAGGAGCTTGGAAACAACACACAGAGGTGTCTATGAGCATCATGAGTGTTCATGTGACTCTACCTCGTTGGTTTTCCTGCAATCACCTGTTTCATTGATTTTCTGACTCCTGAGTGGTGAGTGAAGTCTCATGGGGGCTGTGCACAGAAAGTGTTGTTGTTGTTGATGTGTGTGGAGAGTAAAGGTGCTGCTAAGAAAGTTATGTCTCCATTTTGTTGGTTTTAACATTTCAGAAAGATTCAGAACCCTCACATTATATACGCCTAAAAGAGAAATAATGTCAGCTTCCTGAAAACACTATTGGACTGTCTAAAAGACATCAAAGCACAGATGGCCTTAATTATTTTTTTATTTTCAATGAAAGTAAAACTAAAGTTATTGTGCTCAGACCCAGTGGTTTCTGTGTGTGAGCTGCTTCTCTCTTGGACCTGGGCCCACTGCAGCCATATGGTACTCCATTAGTGATGAACTTTGGAGTCAAATATGCATATTTCCACCATTTTGGTATAAATGTCTGTTTTGAGTTTAAGATATTACTTCTTAAAACTTTTAATGGATCATTCATATCTGAGTTCCTCATGTGTTCCATCAAGATCACTAAGGTCCATGGACCAGCTGCCCCTGTCTGTCCCTCAAACCAGACTGAGAACCAGCATCATTGAGTCTTTTCAGTCATCGCATCAAACTGATGATCTCCCTGCCCAGGTTAGGCTGGCCCCTTGTTGGCTGATTTTGAAACATATCTTAAAACCGATGTTATTCCTTGGCTTTAACTTAGAATAGCTGTGTTCAAGTTTTTATTATAATAATTTTTCTTGTTACTGATTGGCTGTGTGGTGTTCTGGTGATACAACATTTTGTGTAACTTGTGTTTTTGAAAACTTCTGACCAAAGAAAAAGAAACCAAAACAACTTACTGCACAACTCAAAGTGTTTCTAACCACAAGTGAGATTTCAAGGTTCTTTATTTGTCACATGCATAGTTATACAAGTATAACACACAGGGAAATGTAACCTGACACGCTCCTCGACTTGTGCAAAAAAAGGAGGGGGGGGGGGGGGGCACACACACACACACACACACACACACACACACACTGTGAATGTGCAGTAGTAGCAGCATGTATGCAGATTTGATGTTCATCCAGCACTTTAATCTGAACAGTTCAAGCACTTTAGTTAACTCACATGCTGTAACCCATAATTTCCTTTGGGATTAATAAAGTATTCTGATTCTGATTTAGAATTGGAATCAGTTGAATAAGCCTGTAGTGCATTTTAATATCCCTGAAACACAACAGATGTACAAAATCTACAAACAGAACTTTCATTCAGTACAATAACAAAAAAACAAAAAACAACACTAAAAAAAAAAAAAATTGGACTACCATCAGGCATAAATAAATAAAATACAACAACAGTAATAAAACATTATGATGTGATGACCACACTGATGGCACAACAAAGTTTGTACAGACAAGCAAAAGCAATAAATCCAGAAAAATCTTCATCTTCTAAATGCTTCTGTTCAATAGAAGGTGAATAAGCCAGGTTGTCAGTCAGTAAATAAACCAACTAAAAACATTTAAAAAAAATGATTATCACAAAAACTCAACCAAACAAAAATGATGCATAGAAAATTCTTGAAGTTTGGAGGAATCTGGTATTTAGCTCCCCGGTCCACAAAGTGGTAGGGTAGATTACATTAAATTCAAAAAAATAAATTAAATTTATTGCTGGACCTGAGTGTGGTTGCTGGTTTGAATCCCTGACTGCGAAGATCCAGCAAAGATAAATCTCTAACACTCTCAGCTCCATTAAGACCATTATTACTTTGAGTAAAGCAGCTAGACTTGTAGTGGTTGTTTTTGTGTCTCATCCTCTGGATGCTTCTGTTGAAAAATGTAGAGTAATGAGTCAGTCTGACAACACAAGAAGCAACAACATGTTTGTGTTTGTTTGTTTCTTACTTTTAGCTTCTGAAAAATGTGGCGAGAGAAAAATGCAGCAAAACCAGCGAGAGCCACAACTGATAATAAGGTGATGACAGCGACGACCACGGGGACCCTGGATCGACCTGCTGATGTAGAAAACAAAAGAAGGTCACTACAAATACACAAAACCCCAAACAGGGATGACGCAGAAAAAAGTTAGACCGTCTTCTCACCATATGTCACGTCCTTAGGATCTGGAGTGTGGAGGCTTTGGGAAAGCAGCAGCGTTTCCATTGTCGAGGTTTCAGCAAAGTTTGCATCTAGACAAACACAAAAATCATTAGTCATAATCAGTTGATAAAAATATATGATGTAAGAACCAGAGTGTTTGCAATTTGATGTTTGAACCACAGAACGACATTGAAATGTCAAGTTGGTACTAATGTCTTTAATCAAATAGCATTCAGTTTATCAAAAGTCAATAAAAAGTTCAACAGGATGTGAATTTCTTTTTAAATTATCGTCACATTTTAAGTTCCTCACACAGTGACAGACACATGGCACAAACTTGCAGTGACAAGTAACAAGAAGATGCTTATTTTCCCACAGATCAAACTGATGATCTTTGAGTCTTTGTACAGTTTGTTTACTGAAGATCAAAATAAATTCAAACTTGTGCCCAACTCTTGTTTTAAACTAATTAAAGACAAAAGCTGTAGAGTTCAAAGAAACCATTTAAAAAATATATAATAATAATAAAGATAATAAAGCATTCACACTAATTACCATCAGATTCAAGCACATGATGACGAGTCAATGTAAACAAAGAACAAAGAAATATAACCCCTGGTACAGCTGTAAAATGAAACCAATAATCTTCTGTTTATTTGGCGTAATATTTACATATACATTCTTATCTCAAGTTCAGTGATCACACGTGTATAAGTGAATCCTCTTACCAGAGACGGTGACTCTGCAGCTGTTGTAGCCGCGGCCATAACCTGTGTCCACCTCACACAGGTACAGACCCGAGTCCTCAGTCCTGAGTCTGGACAGCTGGAGTCTGAGTCGTCCTTCTCTGAGGCCGTCTTTGTCACTCTGGACTCGTCCTGAAAACTCTTCATCCTGAACCTCTGAGAACTCGACACCATCACGAAGAAAATACAGAGTTAAGGGTTTCTGATCAGTTATCAGGCTACAGCGGATCTTCAGTGATGAGATGGACGTGTCTGGTTTGGTGGTGAACGTCCACTCCAGTGTGATGTTGTGGTTCTCCTCTGCCTGATAGGAGCTCTGTGTCACATCCACTACAAATGATCCTGTTGAGGAGACAGAGAGGAGCAGACACACTCACAACTTTATACAACATCAGAAGTTTATTTTCCTGACACATGCCTGTCCATATTGTACATTACTGACATACATGTGAAATTTCAAAGACATTGAAAACAATATTGTTTGCTTATACAAACTTGGTTTAACTATAATAAATCAACATTGAAACTGAGTACAAACAAAATTGATAATATTTGGGAATCACACATATTTGACCAATAGAATATATATACACACACATACACACACACGCAGTATTGTCCCATTAGACTTCCTTGAATTATATATTGTGTAAGTGTGGGGAAACACGTAAACACATTCTGCAAAGAAGAGCAATAAGGTTAATAAGTAAAACCACTTCAAGAGAACCAGCAAATCCACTTTTCCTCAAATGTAATATTCTTAAATTTAAAGACTTGGTTGATGTCAGAACTGCACAATGTACAAAGCAGCAAATAAATCTTTGTCCCACAACATTCAGAACTTGTTCCAAATAAGACCAAATACTCATGACCTGGTAGGAATGCTTATGTTAAGCAAGACAGTAGCAAGGACTAAATTAAAATATCCCAGCATTAAATTTGGTCTGCGAAATAAACCGTGCAGCTTGTGAATACAAAGCTGTGGAAGTATTGAGCTGCGTTTCATTGCTTTCAATTCTTTGTAGGAAAACGTGAAATGGATGCAGTGATTTATTGAAATGTGTGCCAACATTCATGGAAATACAGTAAATAAGGTAAACACAGAGTCTGTGCTATACAAACGAACTAGAACGTAATAGAAACGTTATTTACCTTTAACAAAATCCAAGTGAAGAATTGAAGTCCACAGTGGGACCACAAGGAAAGGAATGAAATCCATGATGTCATCTTCTTAACAATCTGTGGGGATCCAGATCTTCTTCTTCATCTTCACATTCAGGCTGCAGACAAAAATATAATTGTTACGTCTCAACACACAGACATGCTGCATGTTCAGCAGCATGTCAGCAGCTACGATACTGACCAACTACTAATGTTAGCTGGTGGCTGAGAGCAACAACAACAACCAACAGAAATCTACTAAGTTCAAGAGTGAGGGGAATCCTGAGCAACACCTAAAAATCTCTAAAACGATTGAAAACTAAACTGAAATCAGAAAAATACAACACAGTGAGCAGCATGCAGAGGTAATTTACAGGAACATGCTTTAGAAATCCCCACAAACCATCATAAATCTGTTTTTATTTATTCTGAACAGGAAAGTGTGGTCAAATCTGGCAAAATCAGACAAAAATCAAATGTTGCTGGATTAAAAAAAACTAAGTTTTTCTTTTCTAAATGAAATTCTGTGTAAAACTGACTGAACCTCTGTTACATGGAAACATCATCACGGTTTTCCAGCAGAGAAGATTTTACCAACTGTGTTTGCAGGAGCAGCTGACGTCTTCATCTCTGATAAACAGCACATTAGTGGGAAAAGCTTAAACAAATGGTTGGAATTCAGTTGAATCCAGTGACGTCTGTATAGATATTTATCTCTAGGACAGAAAAGTTACAAGCACCAAAACAGCAGTGAAGACTGAGGCATGCATCAATAATTTATAGTTCAGCTTGTTCAAGATTATGAGAGTTTGCTGGAGCTGAGACAGAGGCAGTATGGCAGTGAGTCAAACCAGACGCTCCGGTCTGATCAGCTTGTAAAAGCATTTGTTCTTCAGCACACTACAAACACAGGTGAGCTGATGCATGGCATCAGATCAGTACAGATTACAATAAGGTATAAACCATTCTGAGATACCACAGCAGCCAACAGTATAACTTCACATTTTATACTATAATTTGCATAAATAGTTCATAGATGAATTCTTGGCCTCTCAGCAGCCAGAGCAGTTCACATTGAAATAACTGCAAATCACCTGCAGCCTTTGTCTGTGTGGAAGATCGGGGTTTTCACAACTTTGTCGACACACAAACTACAGTACAAGACACATCTGTCATTATTATTGCTTTTGAACAAAGATCCTCAGATTGAAGGAAATAAGAATGTCAGTTTTAAAACATCAGCTGTTGTCCAGAAATAATTTTGTGCAGATTTCATGTTTGCAGATTTATTTCCTTACGGTAATAAATATATGTGTCTGAAATCTCTATTACATGATATTGGGATATCATGGGAGTATAGACTGCAGCTCACTAAATCCTATCTATCCATGTTATACTGTAGCTATATTTTATGTGTGTAATATCACTATTGTAAGCAATGATAGTGACTGTAGCTGACTGAACTCTGGAAGTACATCACATTTTATAGTCTTGTTTTAGGGGTTGACTAACAGTATATGACTTTTTACCCGCAGTGGAAACCATAAATCATTTATTGGTCATTAATAATGTTTATGATTTAGCTACTGTAATATGTATTAACATCATAAATCATGACACAGTCTTCTTCCACTCAAAGTGCATGGGCTGCTATTAGAAGTTAGAGGCGTCAGTAATATTTTGCAGCATAGCTGAGAATAGTTTAACTCTGGACCAACCTGCTGTGACAAACCAGCGATTATTTCACCCACTCCTTGCAGACACGACAGTCATAGTACCCACTAAAGTTAGCTTTAAGCTGAAAGCAGAGTTTAAGTAAAACATCGGTTTACCTTGAACAGGTGCGATTAAGATTAAAGTCCAGAGTGGAAAAGTGTAAGAAGACGAGCTGAGCCGGGACATAACAACAAGTGCAGAGACTAGTGATGTGATGTTCTGTATCGAGGCTTCGAAGCTTGTGTCGAGTAATGGAGGGGGCGTCCGCGATGCCTTGCTTCAGTTATGGGAGGAGCTGAAAATGATGACGTCCAACGCCTCGCTGCCCGGCTGTAGCACGTGTTACACCCCGGCCTAGGCAACCGGCAACTAGCAACACAGGAAAACAAACAAACAAAAAAAAAACCCACTAAGGTACTCCACCAAAATCCCAAAAACGAAAGTACCGACAACTATTTACATTAAAGCAAAACAGGACATTTACATCACCAAACACCAAACTATTTACAACCGGGGGGAGAGATCGCGACCATGACAAACTGAAACACAAGGCTTATATACATAGAAGGAGCAATCAGGGAATGGACCACAGGAGGGAAACACAGCTGGGGCAAATTAGGCCTGACGAGACAAAAAAGGGTGAACTGAACACACTGAGATACAACAGACCTTCAACGTAAAACAGGAAACACATAACAGTCCCGCAAAAGCAAAACACTGACAACACCGAAACGTAACACACGTGACTGGTTCATGAAGTGGTTCGAACTTTGCCGCGAGATATGACAGCGATATAAACCCCTCAGACTTCAAAATGTGGGTGTTTGATGGAGAGTTGCGGTTAGTGAGAGTTTGGAGACAGTTTGGAGGTTTATGAGAGTGAGGAGAGAAAGTTAGGAGAGAATGGAGCCAGCTAAGAAGAGGAGGATGTCCTCCCCTGTGTGGGAACATTGTGATCTTATTACTCCCAACAAGGTATGTAAATTTCTACAGAAGATGTATTTTCATAATACTGATGGTGCAATACAATTTATGTTGAGCTGTCTTTACTTTTGTACAAGGTGAAGTGTTTGCTCTGTGCCAGGGAGCTGGGATATAACAACAACACCTCATCCATGCTTAGGCACTACAGAGCTTTGCATGAGAATAAGGGGAACAGCGATTGTGGAGCAAGACCAGGTGAGCTATCAAATGCCATGATAATATAGCATGCAGTAATGTTACTAAATGATATAACAATATTATACAGCTGTAATAAGTTACGTGTGTGATATATTTGTGCTTTGTCTTTATTGTCTTTCCTCAGGAGAACAATCTCAAATAGATGAAGACCTGGTTACCATGGTGATTGAGGACTCCCAGCCATTTAGCATTGTGGAGGACAAAGGATTCAAAAGATTTGTCAAATCATTAAATCCTAGCTATGTTCTCCCCACTAAAAAGGCCATAAAAGCAGTGAAAATTTAG